AGGATGACTCTTCTGTAAGTGGTTGGGTGTTCATGTTTGGGGGAGGTGCCATATCATGGTCTTCCAAGAAACAAACTTGCATTGCCAATTCCACTATGGCAGCGGAGTTTATTGCTCTTGCCTCAGCTAGTAAGGAAGCTGAGTGGTTGAGAAATATCATGTTAGAGTTGCCTTTATTGCCTAAGCTAATGTCACCGGTGGCAATCCATTGTGATTCTAATTCGGCTTTAATAAAGGCATATAGTCAAGTGTATAATGGTAAGTCTCGGCATATTTCACTTAGAAATAGCCTAGTGAAAGAGCTTATCAATGATGGGGTCATAAGTCTTGACTATGTTCCTACAAAAATGAATTTGGCGGATTGCTTTACTAAAGCAATGCCAAGGCATTCCATCTTATTTGCCATGAATGGAATGGGTTTATGTCCAAAAACACGAATTTGTGAAACCCAAACTAACACTTGAAGAAACATCAAGTCTTAGATTCAATGTGGTTGAATTACATTTTTTATGTTTATTAGCAATCTTTGTGACCCATATTGCTATGATACTTGTGATGTTAAGGTAGCGTCAGTTTAAAGTTCTCAAAGATTTAGAGTTGAGAAGCTCTAAATGAAGGTGTCTTATCACAAGGGCACTATTACGTATATGAGAACCTACCTATATAAGTTTAAAGTTTAGCTGCTTCAAGAAGTCTAGATGGACATATAGACTTTGATGAACTTATGAAAGATACAGACACATGGCTGTTTAAAAGTGTCAAGTGATGATTAATTCGATTTGTCTTGTGTGTACTTCACCTTCGAATGGTTGGATATATCCGTGTGATTCAATCCATATGGAAATCATGGGATATAATCATCGTTAAGTGTGTTGTACTAGATGTCAATTCAATCCGAAGGGACATTGGCATTGATGCATGAGATGTGGCTTAATTGATAGAAGTGGAGAAAAGTTTAAAAGTTATACACTCTAAATGGGGGAGGATTGTTAGAATTTAGAGTGTATGAGAGGAGAGCCCTCTCCTTGGTAAGGAGAGGCCGCGACTGGATGCCTCGGAAAGTCGCGCCTGCGGCCTAATGTGCCGCGCCCGCGGCATGGGCGCGGCCAGCCATCTCCAGAATTTGAGGGTGAATTTCATTCACCCTGTCCGCGCCCACGACAAGGGTCGCCGCGCCCGCGGGTCACCCTGTCCGCGCCTGCAGCATGTGATGTCGCGCCCGCGATTCTGGTAATTGCGGTTTCGTTTATTCTTTTAATTGCAAAATTAAAAGAAGAAGGAAGTTCTGGATTTTTTTTTTTGGCTCTCTCCCTGATTTTCTTCTCTAAGTATTTTCCACATTTTCTCTAAAATTTCTTGCAAACTTTTGTGAGAAAAAACTCTTTCAATTAATTCGATTTTGGTGAATTTGTCATCTTGATTTCGATTCTAGTACTAAGAACAAAATTGCTGTCAATTGTATCTCAAAGAGGATTTCCGGTTTAACCCAAGTACTGTGTGGGGGAAATAAACCTCTTTAGGAAAGTGTATACACGCCTTTGACAGTGTATCAAGGTTTGAGACTTACGTGGTCATCGATATTCTCATGTTCATGCTTGTTGGTGTCGGCTTGGAGGAAAGGCAAGTTTGATTCTTCACACTAGTGTAGTCTTTGTATATTTTCAGCAATTTCATTGACAATTCAAATACTTGATTGTAATACTTTGCTTATTATTTGATATTTAGAATTATAGTGTAATCATATTTTAGGATTTGTTCCCACACATTGTTTTAAGTGTTTTCTTGATTGAAACCACTGTAATCCTAACACCAATAGGGGTGTACAAAATCTAGACCGGACCTGAAACCGGACCTGAACCGACTTGATCCGGACCGGACCTGACCCGGACCCGTTGATTTAGGTCCGGTCCCGGTCCTTGAAAATCAAGGTTTCCGGTTCCATCTGGACCAGTCTAAACCCGGGGTTTTCAGGTCCGGACCTGAAATCCGGAAAAAATGTATTTTTAAAAAAAAAAAAAAATTCAAAAATCAAACTAAGGCTTGACTGCTAGTGACGCTTGTGTTTCCTCTTTCATTTCTAACCCTAACTGGCTGTCTGGCTAACTCCCTCACTCCCTGTCTCCCACTCTCCTTCACTCTCACTCTCACTGTCTCTCAGCCCAACGCCCACCGCCCACCGCCGACACCTCTCTGCCTCCCTCGCTCTCTCCCACCACATGAGACAGCCACCGCGCGAACTCCGGTAAGTTTTTTGATTTTTTTTTAATGTAAATCTAAATTATCTAATTATGTTTGGGTATTTTGTATTCGAAATAATAAATTAAGTGTGAGAATTTATATGTTTATTCATGTTTCAATTGCTTATCATGATTGTTTGATGTTTGCATGTTGAATTTCTTTTTTTTAGTTCATTTCTTTCGAATTTATGTTCTTTTTTTTTTTTGGTTTTTTTGAGTTTAGGATTTAGAATTGATAAGAAGTATGGTTTATTTTCGAATGTCTTACGAATTTATGTTTTTTTTTTGGTTTTTTTGAGTTGAGGGTTTAGAATTGATAAGAAGGTATGGTTTATTTTCGAATTTCTTACGAATTTATGTTGTTTTTTTTGGTTTTTTTTGAGTTTAGGGTTTAGGGTTTAGAATTGATAAGAAGTATGGTTTATTTTCGAATGTCTTTCGAATTTATGTTTTTTTTTTAGTTTAGGGTTTAAGGTTTTAGGGTTTAGAATTGATAAGAACTAAGAAGTATGGTTTATTTTAAGTTAATAATCCTAGATTCACTCTGGATCACAGCCTTTGAATCTCTATTAGGCCAAATTTAAATAAATAAATAAATAAACGTAGTGCATGATTTGTAAGAGACTCAGATGATTAAGATTAAATAAGTTGGCTAACTTGTATGCAGTTCAGGGGTTCTTATTCTTGTTCTTATTCTTGCAGACTTTCCCAGGGCTAACATGGGAGTGAAGGAACCACGGATTCTTATTCTTGCAATGTAAGTTGTTCTTAAATTTTTTTTATAAAATGGTATATGTACATAATTGTTACTTTAAAATTACTTATATTGTATATAATTATATTGTAGATGGAGAGCTCTCAATCCAAAAGGTCTGCTTTTTTTACTGATAAATGTCACAGCCACTTTCTGAAAAGGATATGGAAGAATTGCATTCTACTTTGCCTCCTGATAAGAAGCTAAAAGCGGGGCGGGAATATATATGGAACAGAAAAAGTAAGAGGAAAGCTGAGTATTATTGGAAATATTACTTAGAGTACGTCGAGAATGGAAAACTACGAGATGAATGTAAGTTTTGTCCTAAAACTTTTGCTGCTGATGGTAATCTTAATGGTTCAAAAAATGTTAAAAACCATGCCGAATCATGTCTTGGTAATCCTGTTAATATAGAAAAAGAAAAAGGCAAAGAAAAGCAAACTAAATTGTATTTTGATCAAGAACATGAGAGTGGTGAATTAAAGTGTGGGAGTAGGATTATTAACTTGAATGATGTTAGGGAGGCATTGATTCACATGATTATTGTTGATGAGTTACCATTTAAGCATGTGGAAAAACCTGATTTTAGGCACTTTGTGCAAGTTGCATATCCGCAATTTCACATTCCATCTCGTGTTACTATTGCTCGTGATTGTTTAAAGTTGTATTATAGTGAAAAAGAGATTGAGAGAAATGTTTAAGTCTTGTCAAAGAATTTCTGTGACCACTGTTACTTGGACTTCAATACAAAGAATTAATTATATGTGTCTTACAGCTCATTTCATTGATAATGACTGGATAATGACTGGAAATTGAATAAAAAGATCATAAATTTTTGTCCAATTTCTAGTCATAAAGGAGAGGCTATTGGAAAAGCAGTTGAGGCATGTTTAGAGTATTGGGGTATTAATGATAAACTTTTTACTATCGCTGTTGATAATGCTTCTTCAACTGATGTTGCTTGTGCACACTTGAGTAGAATGGTTAGAAGAACAGGATGTGTTAATGATGGAAAAAATCTTCATGTTAGATGCATTACTCATATCATTAATTTAATTGTGTGGGATGGTATTAGAGAGCATGGTGTGTGCATTGATAGAGTTAGAAATGCTGTGAAATATGTTAAGAATTCTCCTGCAAGAATACTTAGATTCAAAGATCTTGTGCAAAAAGCAAACATAGATTCAAAATCTTCTTTATCCTTTGATGTCCCCACTAGTTGGAACTCCACATACATAATGTTGGAAACGACTTTGAAGTTTCGACGTATTTTTAGTGAGTTATCTCTTCCTGATGAAGAGGATTTGAATGACAATGAAAGGCCTCCCGAACCCGAAGATTGGGAAAAAGTGGAGAGGTTGGTTTTGTTTCTAGAGGGGTTTTATGTGTTGACTAAACGAATTTCTGGTTCCCATTATGTGACAGCTAATAAAGGCTTAGGAGAAATTGCTTCTATGTATGATATGTTGAATAATTGGGAACAAAGTGGGGACTTGAATTTTCAAGCTATGGCCATTGCAATGAAAAAAAAAGTTTGATAAGTATTGGGGGGATGTGGATAAAATGAATAATTTCATTTATGTTGCTCTTTTTCTCGACCCTCACTCTAAGATGGTCATTGTTGAATTGACACTAACGGATATGCATGGGCCAGAAAAGGGTATGAAACTTGCTAATGATGTGAAGGAGTTCACTTACTCTTTATTTGAGGAATATAGAAAAATGTATGCTACTTCTAATATTCCAGATAATGGAGATAATATGTCAATGGATACTGACAATAGTATAGGAGTGCATTCTGATTATGTGAAGAAACTAAAAGAAAGAGCAAAACGATTGAAGGGGACAAGTGGGTATGCGATAAGTGAGTTGGATAGGTACTTAAATGATCAATTAGGGCCGGAGGAGGAAGAACAAGATGCATTAACATGGTGGGGTAAGAATGGTCAGCGTTATGTGATTCTTAATCGCATGGCACGTGACATGCTAGCCATCCCATTGTTGACCGTTGCATCGGAATCTGCTTTTAGTACGGGAGGTCGTACTCTAGATCCATTTCAGAGTTCTTTAACTCCTAAGGTAATGCATCTTTATCTTTTTATTTTATAAAATCAAGTTTGTTTATATCTAAATATGACTTTGTTATACACATTTATGTAATACTTTTGTATTGAAGATGGTTCAAGCGCTACTTTGCACACAAGATTGGCTTAGAGCTAAGGGAGTGCCAATCGTTGATGTGGAAGAAAATTTGAAAGAGTTAGAGGAAATAGAGAAAGGTAGTATTAATTTTATGTACTTGAAATTTTGTTACACCAAATTTATTATTTCATTGTTATCAATCATTAATATATTCACATAAAGTCTATATTGTTTTTTATTTAGAGGTGCAACGTGGTGAATCTAACGATGTAGACGATGAAGTTGTTTTCGTGGACTCATTAGTGTGAATCACGCAATCAAAGGGAAAACAACTCATCAAAATTCAAGTTGTCCTTGGAGAATTTATGTAATTCTAGTACTTGAGACTTAAAGAGACTTTATGTAATGTTATGAGTTTTTGTGGACTCATTTGTATTTTTGGTGTTTGGGAATTGGGACTTTATAGACTTTATGTAGTTTTATGATTGATAATTTGGGTTTGTATGTAATTATTAAATTATGCAACAGGTCTAAAAATCACAAAACAGGCCCATATGCAGGTCCAACAGGTTATTTATTAAAAAAAAAAAAATCACAAAACAGGTCCATTCAGGTCTAAACCCGGACCAGACCTAATTTTTTCAGGTCTAGCCCAGAACCGGACCTGTTGAATCAGGTCCGGTCCACGGTCCTCAAAATTCCCAAATTCAGGTCCCCAGTCCAAACAGGTCCGGTCCGGTTTTGGACCGGTGTACACCCCTAACCCCCAACCAATTATGTCTAACCAATTCTTTCTTCTTCCTTTCTCATCCCCCTCCATACTTCCGGCCAACTTCCCCTCCGCTGCACCTCCATTTCCAGCCACCCCTCCCCTGCCGACTCCCTTCCCCGCATCCCCCGTCCTTGCATCACTACTTTCCCCTCATTCCCTATTATTCTCCGTCAAAACTCAGAAAAATGAAACAAACCCAAATAATAATAATATAACTTGTCTTGTTGTTGTTGTTGTTGCGAAGACAACAATGATGATCTTCCTGCCATTTTTAACCCCCTTCAAGCTCAATTATCACTAAAAATGAAACAAACCCAAATAATAATAATGTAGATGATATTATATATATGAACAGGGGGAGGGGGTGCTCGTTTTGGGATTGGTGTATCGGAGGTGGGGGTCTCCGGCGGGGGAAGCGGTTGAGATGCTGTCAGCCGGGTCGAGCTGAGCACCGGCAAGGGGAGAGGGGGTTGGCTGCCTGGCTGGTGGTTGGGTAGGGGTTTGGATTTTTTTTGTTCTATTTTATTTTTTTTAAATAATTTGAAGAGTACTAATGTAAAGTCATTGTTACTTAACTAAGATTAATCCTGGTTAATCGTTTAGTTATGTTTTATTATCATTAATGTTACCATTTAATTAGTAATATTAATTCGCGATTACCATTGATAATAAAAAATTTTAGACTTTACCACTAAGAAAAACTAAAATTTTATGATTACCAGAGATAATTTCCCAATAAAAAATAACTTAACTTCATTAAAATTATTGAAGTCCAGTTAGTATAAGGAAAGGTAAGTAAAGAGAACATGTCCTTAACACCGTATAAGGACTTGTCAATAATTAACCATTTGCTAAAAGGACTATTTCCCAACCTAACCAATATAATTTAGAATTTATATTTGATATAAAGTGACTTTATAATTAATTGGTTATATACAGCATGCTGCATTGCTACTATGTCATCCCATAACAAGGAACTACAGCCGATCCTGTAAGTTTTTTCTTATTTTAAACGTATATCTCAATACACATTTTAAACTATAAATATCTTTATTTTGTGTGTTTTTAAATAAAACATAAAAGTAGAGAGAAGGATCTGGACCAGACCTAAACCCTCTCGATTTTTTTGACCAAATATTTGAGGATCAGATTTTTAAAAAGTGAGAGAGGAAAGGTAAGGGATATCCGTTCTCTATGCTTCCCTAATAAGGATTGAACCCTCAACCTAATAAAGTTTGATATTCTAAAACAACATTTGTCTGGATATATACTTTACTCTTGAAGCTGTATCATTATCATTGCACGTTCACGATAATCTGCAATAGTAATTATTATCAATCTAATTAGTGAAGCAAAATATATACAAAGATTTAATCTAGATCCCAATTAATATTGCTAACTCTCGCTAGCTGTAGTAATCCACTTCAATACATCAGTGATAAATTTATGAACGGAGAAAATGTCATCCTTCTTTGCCCATCTTCAACCTGTCGATTTTCTACTCATGAAAAGCTTCATTGCAATTTCCCTAAATTTATGAGGGTAATGATAAAATTAGCGGTTTTTGTATACGTAGCTAGTAGGTATGTAAATAGATGTTAGAGGTGAGAGTACGTAGGTTTGCTTTTGTAGTATAATGTGTATTAACATGTGTATCAAGTTTGAATGTGTCAATTATTATGAAATAAAGGCTACCCATGTAAGAAGTATAATCTTTAACAATAAGTTCTAATAACATATTGATAGAACAATGTATGCTACAAGAGGGGGGGTGAATTGTAGAGTATGTAGACTATGGTAAATTTTGCGGAATTAAATCTACTACTAAGAGAAAAGACACAGGAGATAGGCAATGAATACTTTCACTATGTAAATAGAATTACACGCTCTAAGATTCTGCCTAGACCTAAGTTCCGTGAGGAACTCAAGTTACCCAAACTACGATCCCTCAATCGTAGCTTCTCTCTTTGTGATTCGACTCTGAATCACTTGTATAATATGAGGTACTCTCTCAAGACTCACACTTTACAACTCTCACAACCCAAATCCCAATTACACAGTAATTACAAGGATTTCCTAAAGAACTCACGAGACTAAGGATAGAAGGAACTTCTCTTTTAAACACTTTGAAACTCTATGCTCAGAATACTTAAGATTGTTTTTCCACACTTTCAAAAATCAATGTTGATCTATTTTTATAGGGAGGTAAACCAAGCTTCCATCAAATTCCCACTTCCCCCTTAATCCCACGTTCTCTTTTACTGAGAAGTTGGGATGTAAGTGGAGGAAGTTAAGGAACATGATTTCCTTAGCTTGACTCCCAAGTTCAACGATCTCCTTAATTTTAGGAGTCAGTATTTACCAAGTCAAAAAATTAGTTATTCAAAAAAGATAATTATTTAAAAAAGATAATTATAACCAAATAATTAATTAATTTAAAACTTATCATTTAAATTAATGAATTATTTTTATTTTATTTATTCATAAAATAAATCTTTTCCAAAACTGATTTTATCTTTTCCTTAAATTAAGGGATATGAAAACTGTTTTTGAAAACCATCGTTTAAACACTTTTCTGAGCATCAGTCAAGTTCCTTTAGGAATTCCAGATTCCATTAGGAACTTTGAGTTTCTCATGGGTTCCTTCCAACACTTTTGTTTCTTAAGTTCGTACACTGAATAACTAAGTATATAGGGTTGTGAGGACATCTTGAAAGCTTGCATTCATCATCAAGTCTTCCAAACTTTGTTGTTCCTTCTCCGGAACATTACTTCAAACCTGAATCTTCTGTTTTAACCAAGACTCTTTGTAACACCCCAATAATTCTCTTTAAAAGAAAATCTGTAAAAACCTGTGAATATAACCTGTAAAACCTGTAAGACCTGTATAACCTGTATAACCTGTGAAACCTGTAAGACCTGTATAACCTGTAAGAGAATTATTGGAGTGCTACCGCCACGTGTTCAAACGTTAAGGCTAGTTTCAGAAATCAGCAGCGGAAGACTAACTTAGTTTTTAAAAGAATATAAGTTTCAAAACTGGTAGTCAAAACTCAAAGTCTTACAAGTTGGAACCATAACGGCCCTTATTCAAAATCCAGTAAAATAGGAAGTAACAGAACCAACACCAAAATAAAATTCAATCTGTGTTATGAAATTAGCTAACTGGTTAACCAACTCTCCACTCAAATCCCATCACCCTGATGCAAGACAGTTTATGCAAAAACCTGTGATGAATCTGCTCCCCAATATCACAAGTGTAATAATTGGATCATTACAGGGTCATTGAAGGCGAAGGCCATGACCAAAGAAAGACACACAAGAGCACGCAGTCAGCAACGCTGAGCACATACAAGTTACGAAATATAATAAAGAGTTCTAGCATGATACTAACAAGCATTCCATACACTCACAATATTATCATTGACTCGAACACGACTCCTTAGTTACTCATTACTAAATTTTTGTTTAAATAACATTGAACATCTCATTAATTGATTGGATTAAGCAATAGACCGGGTTGTCCCCCTGTGTTCCATTCCAGAACATTAAATAAGAAAACTCTATGCCTCCTTTCGGAAGACATTAATAAACATCCAATGGTAGACGGGCGCGACTCCGTGGCCATAGCTAGCATGAGATCTCATCTAACTCATTATAATTTTAAAAGAATTTAAAACAAGAGACTCGTTCATCAAACGGCCTCTGAAAAGTGCACGGCTAATACCCCGTGAACCCCAACCCATGTTTGTCATTACTCTAGATGTGCACAAATCCAGAGTTTTATTGCTCATCCTTCTTACACTTTACGTGATTTACCAGTTTAGATTAGGTGACGACTCGTATGCAATCAACACAACCAATCATACATCAATCATACAAATCATTCAAGTTTCCAATTAAATTCTCAATTTATCAGTGACGAACAACATTTATTATTGCATCCTTTAACTACCTCGGTGTATAAACACCTTAAGTGCGTAAGACACCACAAATTCTCAACTTTTTTTTATAAGACCTTAATTCTTCCTTTACTCATTCTATTTCAATATAAACGAACAATTAATCAAAATAATTCATTATCAAACAACTCATTACCAAACAATTCCAACCAATCCACAAGTTCCCTAGCATGATTCTAGGTTTTTCCAAGTCCCTAAACATGCTCCTAAAATCAAGGTTCCTCGTATTCTTGTACGTACCTTGAGTAAACAAATTGATTGGCCACTTTAAAGCTAGAAGTCACCTTCTATGAAATCCTCTCCTAAACAAAACAACAGTAGTTCAATCAGTCACCCAAGCAATATATTTTACAGCAATACCAACTACTTTAAAATTCTTTAAATCATTGAAACAATGCTCTTAAATTATTCCCAATAGCCAAAGTTAATAATTTAGTACTTGAACTATGAGTTTATGTGCTTAAATCACAAAAATATGGCTTATAGCAAAAATTTCAGCAACTTTAAAGTAATATAATAAATCTGAAAATTCGTTTTAAGCATGTAAAACAATCTCGCAAACATTTTCACTTGAAACAATCATCATATAGTACGTTAGTATGTTGAGAACTTGAAAACC